ACGAGTCTTAGACATTACTATATAAGGAAGTTAATCAAGGATGAAATAATTTCCCTAAATTATGTGAGGTCAATTGAAAATTTAGCGGATCCTTTGACTAAACCTCTAAATAGAGATTTAGTAGCATCTACTTCGAGTAGGATGGGGTTGAAACTCCTTAACTAAAAAGGTTCCCCAATGACAGCAACCCCACCTGTCATTACTCGAAAGGTAATTTACGGGTTCAAAGGATAACAACAAGTCATTCGATATGTGAATAGTTGCAGCATTATTAAAAAATCCGCAATAATTCTATCCTAATTAAATTAATGCTGGTTGTTACTGAAATGAGGGATGAGCTTTAAACTTTTAATGAAATTTAGTGCTAAAATACAAGTACCTCTAAAGATAACAAAGGTACTGGAAGAACTTTGTCTAAACAATCTTCAAAGTGGAATCGCCTTAATAGAAAGTTGGAGTTTCTCTCTTAAAAGATTGTTGAAAAGGATAAGTGCAATGCCATAAAAGCGCTAAGCGAGTTATAAGAAACTTGAGAACATGTGGTACTCGTGTGTGTGTTCTTACCGGTATTGTCATATGGAATAACTAGTTCAAAGCTATATGCTACATTTGATTCCGACTATACTTTGTTTAAGTTACACTATGGTTTAATTTAAATCGAAAGATATATAATCCTTATGGATGAGTATCGTATATCATGAATATGAGACTTATTAATTTTGAACTAGTGGGGGATTGCTGTGATTATGTTGTTCAAAACCAACAACAATTAAAAAAAAAAAAAAAGTGGTAACGCCATGCGGTCTCATGGCCATATGCCGAGACCGAGACCATTTGGTCTCGGCATGGGTGAACCATGTGACCGCATGGTGCTATTTTTTTAGCCGTTGGAGGCCATTTTCTCCCATTATAAATTTAAATTTGGCGACTTTTGGCTTAAAGTTTGGTACCATTTCGTGAATGTGGTGTATGTCTATATATATTGGATCCATGTTGAAGACAAAAACATTACAAAAACATCAAGGTTCCATATGTCTTTAAAAGTCATATTCATATTCATCCTTTGGGTTTTTCAAGTTCTCTAGAATTTGCACTTGTGCTTTCGTGCTTAAATTCTTGCAAAACTTGTTATAATCCTGCAAACCATTTGTCAACAACTTTCAAAGCATCTCAAATTCATAGGAAAATGGGCAAATATCATTTTAGGACAACAATATCGTGTTCAAGCCATTCGTTGATACAAATTCGTGATTGTTCTGTTATTCGCGTTGCCAGTTTATGTTTCGTGATTTTTACTCCAACCCGGTGAAGATTTCTCCAACAGTATGAACTCCCTGCAGCTGGAACCCTAGTTGTGCTGCTATATATACTGCTTAATTACTGCATGAATTTGTATGCACAGCAACGATACGGGAGCTAAAACTCATTAACAGGGAAGGTCCTACATGGGAGACAGACTCGTGCAGGACTGGGAATGGAGCAGCAAGCTGATTCTATGAACTCCGGGTGAGTTAATTTGCTACGTTCCACAGTCCTGCACATGTCTGAATCTGCCGTCTCTTAACGTCTCCATGCACATTCTTGGTAGTGGTAACCTTTTTTATGACCATTGTTATCTTCTTGAATGAAAATTCAGGCAAAGCTATGGCATGTATATCTATTACATTACAATTTTCTTTTAATGAAAATGACACTATTAAATATTAATTTGTATGTGCAGACTGAATGAGATGCATTTTTATTTTATATAATTGGATTATTGAAGTAAAGAAGATGCTGTTCGTTGACATTAAGTCCCTCTCTGGTACCCTTAAAATATATGATTGAAAATCAATTTCAGAATTAAAAAATAGTGTTACACATGGACTTAATACATGTGTATGTGATTTTTGTTAATTCTTACCGATTAAGATCAAGTTACACATTAACGGGAAGAAAGCTGCTGGTGAAGTGGAAGAATGACCAAGTTAGCCCGAGTAATTTTTGATTGGATGCATTACCCAGTCATAGTCGATGGTCAAATCTCTGTATAAGAAGTATTTCGGTGTTAAATATCTCAATTGCCCTCTTTCGGTTATGTGATGCGAAATCGGCTTACATATAGTTGTTTCTAACTACTGTCTGTATAGCCAAAGAAAAACATGGGTGCTTCCTATATATGAGCATTCTTGAGTGCGGGTTGAGGTTAGTGGTTGGGGCTCGACTGGATGGCATGGGTAGAGCTATCTTGCCTTCCTCCACACAGTACGACGCGCTCTCGTCACCCCCGGTGGCACGTTGCGATTGAACTTTTTGAAGTGATTCTCAATTGTCATTAAACTTTAAAAGTTCTTTAAGTTGTCAATGAACTTGTCAAAATATTGTATCATTTGCCACTCTAACCGGCTTATTTAAAAATTAATGGAATTACATAATTTAATGTTTAAACAACATGTTTGGATGTACTTTTGGCTTATAAGATGGTTTAACCATCCTATAAGTCCACACAAACAAGCCCATTAGCTCGTCCAGTTCTCAGAAATTCTTCTAAATTACTATCCAAATAATTCCTTCTTACTGATTATTATGCAGAGTGAAGAACTGAAGCTTGTGGATGGAAGACCAACTAGTATATTTCCTTTTGATTTTATTTAATTATTTTTTGGCTATAATAATTAAAGTAAGGTGTTTTTAAAGACTGAAATATGGGTTAATAAAATATTATCGATGGAATTTCTCTCCATTTATGTCAATTGTGGTACAATATTTTCACTTGTTAAATTTGTGATACTCACAAAATAAATTTATTTTGATCATGTCCATAGTTGTCGTATATTTCTCACTTCATCCTATATCAAGTATCTTAGAAGATAAAACAACAATTTTGGTTACGTTCTCAACTCTTCCTTTAATATACCATTTACATTCTCGATTTGTTCTCCTTTCTTCCTCCATCCTTTTTACACTCCGTATCTCGTCGCTTTGGATTGATGAGCATACCATATTATTTGCTTAAGATTTTTTAAAAAATTGTATGTAGTCCAAGCTTTGATCCTTTTACATATTGAAGTTAAGGATAGATGCTCTAATAAATCTCTTTCTAGATCAAGATGAGGACAAAAAAAAAAAAAAAAAAATTGACTTTGTATCAATTAAGTAGATGGAATTATAGATTATGACCACTAAGAACTAAACTTGTCAAATACATCGGTTCTAAATTACTTGCTTTATAGGGCTCCTTCATGGACCACTAATGGCAAATAAGAGAGGAAGGGGAATTCCAATCCGTCATGGGCACGAGAAAGCATAGCAAAATATCTGCTTATTAATGTATGCATTCCTTTGATTGCTTCTTGTAATCCGTCCATACCCCTTGTTTCATATGACTTTCGAGATGCAAATTCGAGGTCTAGAACGATAAGATTATAGTTTACTCTCAAGTTTTCATGGTTTTAAGGGAATCTAAACAAACATCATAAAAGTGTAAATTCATATTAATTTTTGCATCATTCAAATATGAGTAACCTTCAATATTACTATTGGAAAAAATTGGTTTGCCAAGGAGCAATTTATTAGGCTCTATACAGGATACTCACAATGAAATAGGCCCCACGTGGGACCCTCATGTAATAAAAAATTGCAAAAAAAATGGTGGCCCACCGCATTGTGAGAGGCCTGTAACCTTCAAATCTTGAAACATATTCCTAACATTCTTGCTAATAAAGCTCAATTGGTCATTTTGGATGGTTTCAAAAATTGACCATAAAAATGTCAAACTTCTAACAATAAGACTAAAATGCCATTGCTTCAATTTAGCAAGTAAAAAAAAAATAAAAAAAATAATGCCCCGATTTGGTAGAGATTAAAATTATACTTTTAGTAAATTTTGATAAAAAGTTGATGAAATGTGTGGTTGAAACATTATAAGTTTTATGAAAGGCATGTTTAAAATTAATTTCTAAATTTGACTTTATTTTTAATCAAAATTTTTAGCGGTACCTAACAGAAGCAATATATATAAAAAGGAAAGTGAAGTTATTACACCAATGAATCCCTAAGAGCATCTCCAATTGTGCCGTAAAATTAGATGTAAATTGGTATTTCAAAAATTATTTTTGCATCTTTATTTACACCTGGATATATCCATATTCAATTTTTGCTCCAATTTGAAAATTTAAATCTACTTTTTTCCTCTTGTTTATGTAAATATAGATTATTTATTTATTTTACATTTTCTGTCAAAAAATGCAATTTTCATTTCCTTTTCATCTATCCATTAGAGAGATTTTCAATCATTTTGGAGATTTAAATCTATTTTACATCACAGTTGTAGATGCTCTATGGGTATCATCTCCAATACAGTTGTGGATTGCTTAAAAATTTGTTCATATGATAAAAATAGAACTTGTTTAAAAAATTAATTTTCAATTCAAGTTGATAGGGACTTGTCATGATGATGTAACAAAGAAAAAATAGATACTTTTGGGAGTTCCATCTAAATTTAGAACTTTACTGACGTAATAACCCAACAAAATTTATATTTCATAAGCAAATTTAAATGCAGTTTTGTTAATATTTTGAGAAAGCAAAAATCATCTAGCTAGGTAGCAATTCATAGATTGCATTGTAATTTTGTACTTGAGTATTTACTCATTCGACATCAATATCATGCAGATTAAAAGTATTTCGATATATATTTTTTCCCTATCACATCAACTTGATAGACTACTATCTGCTTGCGTTAGAGAAATATCTTTAATAAATTCCTTCCATTTTACTTAGATGGCATAAATTTTAAATCAATTCACGGTTGTATTAGATATGCTTTTATGAGAGATTGATTGATATGATAAATTGTCTTTCCTGTACTTATTTTATTAATCTAACTAAAGTAGGAGCAAGTTAGTCTTTTTATCAAAAAGTCTGTCCTTAATGGTCAATTGAATGGGGAAGTGGGAACCCCCGCGGGGCCTCGGCAAAAGGGTCAATTCTCCCATTAGGTGAAAGATTGAGATATTTCTGCCAAATTTTGAAAGTTAGAGATCAATAACACAGAAACCTTATAATTTGCGCCAATTCCCATTTATTATTGACCCCCGTTTGGTATAATTTATTATCATATGCCATGGCTGAAAATTTTGCAGGCCAGAATTATATATCAAAATAATTTTAAAAATAAAAATAAAATTCAAAACCCAGACGCATCCAAAGTTCGCTGAACGCCACAATACAAAGACAAAAATACGTTTCATTTTCGGAAGTTCGGGTGATGGATTCCATACACACTGTTTGCCTCCAGAAGCAGCGTATTCTTCGATCCGTAAGCTTTTCAATTCACTTAAATTCCCACGTTACATTTTGTTTAATTGGTATTAAATCATTTACATTTTAAAATCCTTTGTTTTTCTTTTCGAGAAGTGTTTTTGCCTTCTAGGGTTTCGGTAAAGCGCAGATCTTTATGAAATCCTTCGAAGTTTTTACGTTAAATCCAATAAAAAGTAGGGTCCTTTAATTTTATAAATTTTCTTATATGTTTATATTTATAGGGATGCATGAAAACTGTGATTTTTACTCCGTTTTGCTCTATCTTTTAACTTTTGGTAGAAAGTTCGACACTAACAAATTCTTGTTTTATGTTATCTAGTTAAGCTTGGAAAAAATGTAAAGTGAGGTTCTCTTGATTAGGGTTTGAAACTCAATGTAATCACATTTATTGAGTTCGAAATGTAGTCTAAGTTGAGTATAATTATTGGAATTTTGTTCTGTTTTGAATGTTTACAGATTCAGTCCAATTATTAGGAAGTGTTTGCATATAAATGGCAGAGTCTTCAGTGGACAGTATATTGGAATTTCTAAGAAGAAATAAATTTAAAAAAGCTGAGGCTGCATTGTGCAATGAACTGTATGATAGACCCGATTTAAATGGGTTTCCTCAAAAACTCACGCTTGAATACAAAGCATCAGGTAGTAAATTGCGCGAAGAAGCAAATGGGGAAAATGTAATTGAAGAAGATGGAAGGATGACCTTTTTGCCAACTAGTGGAGAAGGAGCTAAGGAGCCAACAAGTTCTCCAAGTAGTGGGGAGGTTTCTAAGGAGCTTATTGTGAAGGAAATACAGTGTGGGACGGGGAGAAATGGGTCTGAGAGCAATTGGAAAAGCAATAGTTATCAGCAAGATCAGAGTAAGGTTAATGAGTCAATCAAGACGAGAGATAAGAACGTTACCTTCTCCAAGAGTTCAGATGATACTATGCTTGATTTGTATTCGTGGAAGTACAATCCAGGTAATGGTCTGGTTCCTTCTTATCAAAATGATGGTGAAAACAACTTTTCTGGCTTTCGGGTTCATGGAAAGTCTATGCTGAATTCAACTGAGATTCTCGATAGCAGCAAGGCTAATGCAAAATCAGGGGAAGATGTTAGTAAACCCAAATGGAGTGACAAAAGTCAGCTTAAGGAAGTTGATCAACAGCAAAAGCTAAGTGGCATGTGCTCAAATGACAGCCTTGTGGATAATCCCTGGTCTATAAGTGATGAATCATCACATCAGCCATCAGAGCTGCGGAGAAATTGTTTGGTTAAAATGGTTTTCCCCTTCTCCAAGGGAGACACATCAGCCTGTAATGATAGCGCTTCCGTTATTGGTGGTAAAGAGGAGGGAAAAAGAAAAACAGAACTTGGCGACATTAGGACTGTGATTAAGGATCAAGTGGATGAGGTGGGAAGAGCTCTGTACTTTGGGAAGACTCATGGAGGTGATCCAAAAGATTTCAGTGCATTGGATTTTCCACTCACATCTGAGAATCAGAAGGAAGAGTTACCAAGGTTACCACCAGTGAGACTCAAGTCAGAAGACAAGTCCTTCAGTATTCACTGTGACGAGAAGTTCGAAGATGAACCCGGTCCGAATATCATGAGTGCTGACAATGTCATAGGGTCATTTCTGGATGTGCCTATCGGACAAGAAGGTCTCCCCTCAAATTTACTATGTTTATGGTATACTTAGCATGATTGCTGATATGATGGTTTTTAATTCACATTTTACCTAGGTCAGGGTTTACTGTATGAGAACTAAAATTAGCTAACAAACATACAATGAAAGTAACTGATCATCGCAGGAGAATCATGCTTTCTGTTTCTGCTTTCTTCTGATTTCTATTTAATTGTTAGATGTTTTATTTAGTAATGCACCCAAAAGTTTATTTATTTCTTGAAGATTCAGCTTCATTCAGCTATGCCAAATCAAAAGACAAGCACAACTGCAAAAATAACCATTCAATGCTACAATTTGTTAGAATACTGTTTTTGGTATGAACAATCTGCATTTAGATCAACTTAAGCACAAAAGTTTTGCTTTCCATTAATGCAAAATTATTTCTTTTCCTTATGTTACCTGCAGTTTCATTGTCTAGAATAATGAAAAAGGCAAAGAGAGAGTGGACTGTCTTCCTAAATAGAGATGGAAACTATAACTAGAAAGATTATAATTCTCTTATTCGACGCTTATTTCTCTCTTTATTTTTAACAAGAATTCTCCTGTTTCTCATTTCTTTCAAGTTCATCTCTTTCCTTCTCTTCGGGCAAATCGCAGCCATTAAATTTCTTTTAAGTTTGCATTTCCATTGAGTGACTATTCAATTATTGGCCTCTGTATTTAATACGATTCTCTGCTTATCCTGTCATATAATCTGCGTCTCCTGGTTTTCAATGATCCATTTGTTATTTTTCTTGATTCCTAGTCTCCCTCTTTGACTCCTTTAATTTATGTTGTTCTTCCAAATGATGATGCAGTTGGTAAAAAGACTGGAGGAGGTAATTGGCTTTCAGTAAGTCAGGGTATTGTTGCCGAGGATGCTTCTGATCTTGTTTCTGGTTTTGCAACAATTGGTGACGGGTTGAGTGAATCTGTTGACTATCCAAATGAGTACTGGGACTCTGATGAATACGATGACGATGATGATGTTGGCTACATGCGTCAACCTATTGAAGACGAGGCTTGGTTTTTAGCACATGAAATTGATTACCCAAGTGACAATGAAAAGGGTACAGGACATGGGAGCGTTCCAGACCCTCATGAGCAGGGTCAAAATAAGGACGATGAAGATGATCAATCATTTGCAGAAGAGGATTCCTACTTATCTGGTGAGCAGTATATCCAGTCGAAAAATCTTTCTCCAATTATACCTTCAGGTGATCCTACTGGGCTGTCAGTGACTGAAAATTACAGGAGAAACGATGAGAATGACTTGATCACCCAATATGATGGACAATTGATGGATGAAGAGGAACTAAATTTCATGCGTGCAGAGCCGGTTTGGCAGGGCTTTGTCACGCAGTCAAATGAACTCATCATGCTAGGGGATGGAAAAGCTCTGAATGAGTGTGGAAGGCCTCATCTAGATGATATTTGTGTGGATGACGATCAACATGGTTCTGTCAGATCTATTGGTGTGGGGATTAACAGTAATGCTGCTGATATGGGCAGTGAAGTGAAGGAAACTTTGGTTGGAGGTAGTAGTGAGGGAAACTTTGAGTACTCCCATGATCATCATATTAACACTGGTAGGTCTAAACACTCACAGCATGATCCAGATAATAATATTGGTGAACGAAAAGGGAAAAACAGAATAAGTACACATAACTTCAGTGAAAATACAAAGAGTGATGATAGGTGTGCATTTCCACAAGCAAAAAATCACGTGGATGGAAGCTTTTCATTTCCTCCTCCTAGAGGTGGTCAGTTGGTGTCGACAGGCTCGAATATATCCTTGCGGTCAAGCAAGGACAACAATGCTGTCAGTGATAAAGCTGATGATAATACAGTGTGTAGCAATGACGTACTTGCTTCAAGGAGGCAAAAAAGCACCAACTCTTCGCCTGCCAAGAGCTCAAGGGACGAAAACACTGCTACTGCTGTAGGATCAGTGAATTCTAGTCCATCATCTCTTTCAAATTATGGGTATATTGAGAGAGAGCATGTAAAGAGAGAAGAGGATGCAAAAACATCTAATGTAAGAGAAGATGATCCTGGGGCATCTTTAGAGGATGAGGAGGCTGCTGCCGTGCAAGAGCAAGTGAAGCAGATAAAGGCTCAAGAGGAAGAATTTGAGACCTTCAATCTTAAGATTGTCCACAGGAAAAACAGGCATGCATTTCTTCTATGTAGTTATATGAATTGTTCGACTAATTATTCTTGTTATTCAAAGTCATGCTCTTAAGAGAAATATCCTTGTTATTCACTTTGTGATTACATTGAATAAAGTAGGTTTTCATAACTTCCCATATGTAGAGTTTGAAGTGGAACACATTTGTCTCCTTTTGAATTGGAGTAGGGCTAAATTGAGTAAGTTTACTTGATATTTGGCCTCTGCACTTGGCTACCCAGTGTTTACCTTGTAACCGTGGGCACAATAACTGGTACATCAAAGGTGTGTCTTTCCCGGTCCTCTCGTACCGGGGAAAGGTCCTCTCAATGCTCTAGTGCCTACAATATAGGGAATTGATATGCATGTATGAAGAGAATATTGTAGAATAATATATATACAATGAAGCCTCTATCTTTATTCTAGAGTAGAACTTTATAGACTAAGAGATAGATAGTATGGTCAGAAAGAATTAGTAGGACATTCAATTCTGGCAAAGGGATTATATGGCTACACTCGTCAAAATAACAAAATAGAACTTATTTGCATGTTAACTCTAGTATATGTTGTCAATTTCATCGAAACATCCAAGTATTTTTCTTCTTCTTCTGTACTTTTTCTGTTTTGGTCGACAAACACAGTGGTTCTGTTGGCAGTCTGCCTTGTCTTGTTCATGATTACAAAATGGCAACATTTGGGGCATTACATGGGCATTACTCACAGGTGTTTTACAGGGCTCCTCACTGTGCAGGGGCCCCACATGTATTTAAAAAAAAAAAAAAAAAAAAAAATTTACGTGGACCCCACGCATGTGTGTGGCCTGGCAGGGACCTGTGAAAAAGGTCCCTGTAAGCCTAGCGTTTTCTACATGTTTGACTTAAAGCGTTAAAATTTAAGAATTAAGATAATACACCTCCTTCAATGCTTATTATGTCCGAGTATATGGTGCAGTTAGCTATATTTTCATCTGTACCAATAAAATTGAGTTTGAAGAAAGATTTTGGTTCAAGTTAATTGCATCAAGAGACATCAATCACATCTTGATATATGCTGTTTACCTTGTCAGAGATATCCTTTCTCAAAATCTTCAGGCTATTTCAGAATTTTTGATGTCTTGTGGGTTTCTTTCTACTATGAATAATTTTCTTTTCTTTTTTTAACGTTTAACTTTAGGTCAGTTGTTAACTGGGTTCTGTTTGCTACTCAGAACTGGCTTCGAGGAGGACAAAAGTTTCCATGTTGTTTTAAATTCAGTAATTGCTGGGCGCTATCATGTCACTGAATATCTTGGGTCAGCTGCTTTCAGTAAAGCCATTCAGGCACATGACCTTCATATGGGCATTTGTTTTTCTTTTCGAGAAGTGTTTTTGCCTTCTAGGGTTTCGGTAAAGCGCAGATCTTTATGAAATCCTTCGAAGTTTTTACGTTAAATCCAATAAAAAGTAGGGTCCTTTAATTTTATAAATTTTCTTATATGTTTATATTTATAGGGATGCATGAAAACTGTGATTTTTACTCCGTTTTGCTCTATCTTTTAACTTTTGGTAGAAAGTTCGACACTAACAAATTCTTGTTTTATGTTATCTAGTTAAGCTTGGAAAAAATGTAAAGTGAGGTTCTCTTGATTAGGGTTTGAAACTCAATGTAATCACATTTATTGAGTTCGAAATGTAGTCTAAGTTGAGTATAATTATTGGAATTTTGTTCTGTTTTGAATGTTTACAGATTCAGTCCAATTATTAGGAAGTGTTTGCATATAAATGGCAGAGTCTTCAGTGGACAGTATATTGGAATTTCTAAGAAGAAATAAATTTAAAAAAGCTGAGGCTGCATTGTGCAATGAACTGTATGATAGACCCGATTTAAATGGGTTTCCTCAAAAACTCACGCTTGAATACAAAGCATCAGGTAGTAAATTGCGCGAAGAAGCAAATGGGGAAAATGTAATTGAAGAAGATGGAAGGATGACCTTTTTGCCAACTAGTGGAGAAGGAGCTAAGGAGCCAACAAGTTCTCCAAGTAGTGGGGAGGTTTCTAAGGAGCTTATTGTGAAGGAAATACAGTGTGGGACGGGGAGAAATGGGTCTGAGAGCAATTGGAAAAGCAATAGTTATCAGCAAGATCAGAGTGAGGTTAATGAGTCAATCAAGACGAGAGATAAGAACGTTACCTTCTCCAAGAGTTCAGATGATACTATGCTTGATTTGTATTCGTGGAAGTACAATCCAGGTAATGGTCTGGTTCCTTCTTATCAAAATGATGGTGAAAACAACTTTTCTGGCTTTCGGGTTCATGGAAAGTCTATGCTGAATTCAACTGAGATTCTCGATAGCAGCAAGGCTAATGCAAAATCAGGGGAAGATGTTAGTAAACCCAAATGGAGTGACAAAAGTCAGCTTAAGGAAGTTGATCAACAGCAAAAGCTAAGTGGCATGTGCTCAAATGACAGCCTTGTGGATAATCCCTGGTCTATAAGTGATGAATCATCACATCAGCCATCAGAGCTGCGGAGAAATTGTTTGGTTAAAATGGTTTTCCCCTTCTCCAAGGGAGACACATCAGCCTGTTATGATAGCGCTTCCGTTATTGGTGGTAAAGAGGAGGGAAAAAGAAAAACAGAACTTGGCGACATTAGGACTGTGATTAAGGATCAAGTGGATGAGGTGGGAAGAGCTCTGTACTTTGGGAAGACTCATGGAGGTGATCCAAAAGATTTCAGTGCATTGGATTTTCCACTCACATCTGAGAATCAGAAGGAAGAGTTACCAAGGTTACCACCAGTGAGACTCAAGTCAGAAGACAAGTCCTTCAGTATTCACTGTGACGAGAAGTTCGAAGATGAACCCGGTCCGAATATCATGAGTGCTGACAATGTCATAGGGTCATTTCTGGATGTGCCTATCGGACAAGAAGGTCTCCCCTCAAATTTACTATGTTTATGGTATACTTAGCATGATTGCTGATATGATGGTTTTTAATTCACATTTTACCTAGGTCAGGGTTTACTGTATGAGAACTAAAATTAGCTAACAAACATACAATGAAAGTAACTGATCATCGCAGGAGAATCATGCTTTCTGTTTCTGCTTTCTTCTGATTTCTATTTAATTGTTAGATGTTTTATTTAGTAATGCACCCAAAAGTTTATTTATTTCTTGAAGATTCAGCTTCATTCAGCTATGCCAAATCAAAAGACAAGCACAACTGCAAAAATAACCATTCAATGCTACAATTTGTTAGAATACTGTTTTTGGTATGAACAATCTGCATTTAGATCAACTTAAGCACAAAAGTTTTGCTTTCCATTAATGCAAAATTATTTCTTTTCCTTATGTTACCTGCAGTTTCATTGTCTAGAATAATGAAAAAGGCAAAGAGAGAGTGGACTGTCTTCCTAAATAGAGATGGAAACTATAACTAGAAAGATTATAATTCTCTTATTCGACGCTTATTTCTCTCTTTATTTTTAACAAGAATTCTCCTGTTTCTCATTTCTTTCAAGTTCATCTCTTTCCTTCTCTTCGGGCAAATCGCAGCCATTAAATTTCTTTTAAGTTTGCATTTCCATTGAGTGACTATTCAATTATTGGCCTCTGTATTTAATACGATTCTCTGCTTATCCTGTCATATAATCTGCGTCTCCTGGTTTTCAATGATCCATTTGTTATTTTTCTTGATTCCTAGTCTCCCTCTTTGACTCCTTTAATTTATGTTGTTCTTCCAAATGATGATGCAGTTGGTAAAAAGACTGGAGGAGGTAATTGGCTTTCAGTAAGTCAGGGTATTGTTGCCGAGGATGCTTCTGATCTTGTTTCTGGTTTTGCAACAATTGGTGACGGGTTGAGTGAATCTGTTGACTATCCAAATGAGTACTGGGACTCTGATGAATACGATGACGATGATGATGTTGGCTACATGCGTCAACCTATTGAAGACGAGGCTTGGTTTTTAGCACATGAAATTGATTACCCAAGTGACAATGAAAAGGGTACAGGACATGGGAGCGTTCCAGACCCTCATGAGCAGGGTCAAAATAAGGACGATGAAGATGATCAATCATTTGCAGAAGAGGATTCCTACTTATCTGGTGAGCAGTATATCCAGTCGAAAAATCTTTCTCCAATTATACCTTCAGGTGATCCTACTGGGCTGTCAGTGACTGAAAATTACAGGAGAAACGATGAGAATGACTTGATCACCCAATATGATGGACAATTGATGGATGAAGAGGAACTAAATTTCATGCGTGCAGAGCCGGTTTGGCAGGGCTTTGTCACGCAGTCAAATGAACTCATCATGCTAGGGGATGGAAAAGCTCTGAATGAGTGTGGAAGGCCTCATCTAGATGATATTTGTGTGGATGACGATCAACATGGTTCTGTCAGATCTATTGGTGTGGGGATTAACAGTAATGCTGCTGATATGGGCAGTGAAGTGAAGGAAACTTTGGTTGGAGGTAGTAGTGAGGGAAACTTTGAGTACTCCCATGATCATCATATTAACACTGGTAGGTCTAAACACTCACAGCATGATCCAGATAATAATATTGGTGAACGAAAAGGGAAAAACAGAATAAGTACACATAACTTCAGTGAAAATACAAAGAGTGATGATAGGTGTGCATTTCCACAAGCAAAAAATCACGTGGATGGAAGCTTTTCATTTCCTCCTCCTAGAGGTGGTCAGTTGGTGTCGACAGGCTCGAATATATCCTTGTGGTCAAGCAAGGACAACAATGCTGTCAGTGATAAAGCTGATGATAATACAGTGTGTAGCAATGACGTACTTGCTTCAAGGAGGCAAAAAAGCACCAACTCTTCGCCTGCCAAGAGCTCAAGGGACGAAAACACTGCTACTGCTGTAGGATCAGTGAATTCTAGTCCATCATCTCTTTCAAATTATGGGTATATTGAGAGAGAGCATGTAAAGAGAGAAGAGGATGCAAAAACATCTAATGTAAGAGAAGATGATCCTGGGGCATCTTTAGAGGATGAGGAGGCTGCTGCCGTGCAAGAGCAAGTGAAGCAGATAAAGGCTCAAGAGGAAGAATTTGAGACCTTCAATCTTAAGATTGTCCACAGGAAAAACAGGCATGCATTTCTTCTATGTAGTTATATGAATTGTTCGACTAATTATTCTTGTTATTCAAAGTCATGCTCTTAAGAGAAATATCCTTGTTATTCACTTTGTGATTACATTGAATAAAGTAGGTTTTCATAACTTCCCATATGTAGAGTTTGAAGTGGAACACATTTGTCTCCTTTTGAATTGGAGTAGGGCTAAATTGAGTAAGTTTACTTGATATTTGGCCTCTGCACTTGGCTACCCAGTGTTTACCTTGTAACCGTGGGCACAATAACTGGTACATCAAAGGTGTGTCTTTCCCGGTTCTCTCGTACCTGGGAAAGGTCCTCTCAATGCTCTGGTGCCTACAATATAGGGAATTGATATGCATGTATGAAGAGAATATTGTAGAATAATATATATACAATGAAGCCTCTATCTTTATTCTAGAGTAGAACTTTATAGACTAAGAGATAGATAGTATGGTCAGAAAGAATTAGTAGGACATTCAATTCTGGCAAAGGGATTATATGGCTACACTCGTCAAAATAACAAAATAGAACTTATTTGCATGTTAACTCTAGTATATGTTGTCAATTTCATCGAAACATCCAAGTATTTTTCTTCTTCTTCTGTACTTTTTCTGTTTTGGTCGACAAACACAGTGGTTCTGTTGGCAGTCTGCCTTGTCTTGTTCATGATTACAAAATGGCAACATTTGGGGCATTACATGGGCATTACTCACAGGTGTTTTACAGGGCTCCTCACTGTGCAGGGGCCCCACATGTATTTAAAAAAAAAAAAAAAAAAAAAAAATTTACGTGGACCCCACGCATGTGTGTGGCCTGGCAGGGACCTGTGAAAAAGGTCCCTGTAAGCCTAGCGTTTTCTACATGTTTGACTTAAAGCGTTAAAATTTAAGAATTAAGATAATACACCTCCTTCAATGCTTATTATGTCCGAGTATATGGTGCAGTTAGCTATATTTTCATCTGTACCAATAAAATTGAGTTTGAAGAAAGATTTTGGTTCAAGTTAATTGCATCAAGAGACATCAATCACATCTTGATATATGCTGTTTACCTTGTCAGAGATATCCTTTCTCAAAATCTTCAGGCTATTTCAGAATTTTTGATGTCTTGTGGGTTTCTTTCTACTATGAATAATTTTCTTTTCTTTTTTTAACGTTTAACTTTAGGTCAGTTGTTAACTGGGTTCTGTTTGCTACTCAGAACTGGCTTTGAGGAGGACAAAAGTTTCCATGTTGTTTTAAATTCAGTAATTGCTGGGCGCTATCATGTCACTGAATATCTTGGGTCAGCTGCTTTCAGTAAAGCCATTCAGGCACATGACCTTCATATGGGCATGGATGTGTGCGTGAAGATTATAAAGAATAACAAGGATTTTTTTGATCAGAGCCTCGACGAGATAAAACTTCTTAAGTATGTGAACAAGCACGATCCTGCTGACAAGTATCACATTCTTCGGTTGTATGATTATTTCTATTATCGAGTAAGTTGGCACTTGTACCCCTCAACTTCTACTCCTATTTAGATTTAAATTGCTATAATTTTCCTCCTAATAGTTATTTTGCAATTTTACGGTGTACATGTGATTCATTGAAATTCGTAACTTGTCCTTTAATTCCTGTCATTTCTAAGATATGCCTAATATGTGCTAGGTATGAAAGTTTTTATGAGGTGTTTTCCACTAACTGAAGAGGCGCAAACATGTTGTTATGAGTTTTCCATAATAATTTGATTTGAGAGTGATTGTTTTAGGTACTTAGGTCCGATTAGTAATATGGAAGCATGAATTGACTAGGATTAATGTATGGGTTTAAATTGGTTAGATAAATAGAGAAGAGATCCACCAAAAGACAAGTTATGCAGAATGATTATTTACTTGCTATGTTTTGTGGTGCTGACTTTTAAACAGTTAAAGGGCAAGTGTTCACCTGGTGAACATAGTAGAAAGTAAGATGTCAAGATGGATATGTTGATATACTAAAATGTTTAAAATGAAAAATGAGCTGCATGTTTTCCAATTGACTTTAGGTTATTACCTGCTAATTACCATCATGTTGCTTTAGCCTAAACCTTTGTTGACCATATTCATAATTTTCAAACTAAGATCAATTAATAAATTTTTTAGGGTAATGAAAAATTGAAGTTTATTGTTGACGTACCTTGTAGGCATTGAGAACTGGATGTGGGTAATTATGTCATGGTTTTGTATTTCACAGAAGCGATATAACAAATTCATCAAGAAGCTTCATGTTCAATTACTTGGAATTAATGTTTGTTTATTTGATTGGCCATCGCATATAAATACAAGTCCTATTTCAGCATAGCAAATTTATTTCCTTATCGAGATGCATTCAAATCGCAGTTTCATTTTCTCCTTAGCACAATCCTTTGTTCCAGTTATACATATTCCTCCCACTTTTAGATATGGTAATCATTGTTAGAGGATCAGTACGTTTCTACATGAATTGTTATTAGTTTCTATACATGGTTCGAAGAAAAAATCTTTCACCTTGAAAAGGTTTCTGCAGTATAACTCATCAGTCACCAGGGTCAAGGTGTTTTTAGTCAGGAATCAATAGTGGACTTGGCATTGCAAACATGCCAAAATTGGTCACTTATTATAGGCAGAAAAATAAGTGTAGATTAGGAATTATTATTATTTATTTATTTTCTGTCCCTAATTATTAGGCTTAAGTTGAGAAACTTTCCATTTTGATTTTAGGCAGTTTTCCTTCTCTAAATAAAAGATTTTTTAATAATTTGGTGTATTGAAATTTTTTCCGACAATTCCTTTCCAAATGCTCTAGTTCTTCTGTATTTCTCCACTGTAATCTCTCTCTTCTCCCACACGTTCTGCATCAGTAAGTTTATAAAAATGCATGTAAATATATTTACCAAATGTTAAATTTTTGCATATGGTTTTGTCACTTGTAAGAATATTTTCTTTTGTTATTTTAGAGATATATGGCATAAAACTGTCATTCACCCATAGAATAGGTCCTATTATATCATGGAGCTTAGCAGCAATATTATATGCCCTGGCTTATACTGCAACGAACTTTTGGTGGCATAATCAATTAATGCTTATCCGTGGACTTGCATCTTGCAAGTGTACTCGTCCTCTTCCCCCTCTTCTTTTTCAAGGTTGAAAGCTATGAGAGAATCTTAGTTGATGTGTTTTTAGTGCATATTTTGGTGACAGGCTCATTGGTGGAAACTTAATGATCAATTTATCCTCTATAAGTCAGATAGCTAATAAGACAAAAATTGTGTGAAGAAATATCTATGGGGTTACTTCACTTTGATATGCATGTGGTGATAGTTGTCATTCTTATATTGCATGCATGATGCATCTAGGGATGGTAAACGAGCCGAGCGACTCGTTGGCTTGCGAAAACGGGGCTTAGGGGTGGCTCGGGTTCTTAAAAATATGAGCTCGAGCCGAGTAGGGGGCTCGATCCAACGAGTCGAGCCTACTCTGCTCGTCGAGCCCACGAGTGGCTCGTGGGCTCGTCAAACCGAGCTCGAGCTCAGCTCGTTTTCCACGAGCCACGAGCCCTAGCCGAGCTTGCTCGGCTCGGCCCATTGCCATCCCTAGATGCATTTTTATAAGTATTTCAGTCTCATCAATGATGCATCTTTATTAGTTTATCAGAATTTAATTTGATCAATGTTTGGTGCTTGAAAGTAGCTTCTAACCTCTCTTGTATTTGCAGGAGCACTTGTTAATTGTATGTGAATTGCTGAAAGCAAACCTATATGAGTTCCATAAGTTTAATAGAGAATCTGGAGGAGAGGTCTACTTTACAATGCCAAGACTGCAGGTGGGTGACATGGCATTTTATATGCGCCTTTATCTTATTGGAGGGTGATTTCTGACTTAAGAATTTTATCATGCAGTCGATTACCATTCAGTGTTTGGAAGCACTTCAATTCTTACATGGTCTTGGCCTCATACATTGTGATTTGAAGCCTGAGAATATTTTGGTGAAAAGTTATAGTAGATGTGAAGTGAAGGTCATTGATCTGGGGAGTAGTTGTTTTGAAACAGATCATCTTTGTTCGTATGTTCAATCAAGGTCCTATCGTGCGCCAGAGGTTATTCTGGGACTTCCATATGATAAAAAGATCGATATCTGGTCACTTGGCTGCATCTTGGCAGAACTATGTACTGGCAATGTAAGTTCTTTGCTTTTCTAGCAATATTATTCTAGTAATACCTGTAACAGGGTCAACTGAGAAAGCGCGTTTCTCTACAAATAGTATTTATTTTCCTTTCTATTGTACTCTATGTGCCTTTGCATTGAAAATTATACTATGTTCAATGATGCTGTGCACACTTGTTCAAGTATCTAGGGTAAGTTATGCCGGTCATTTTTGTGTGTGCGTGCAAAATCGTTCTCAGAAAAGACCTTTTCACTAGGTCCTCTGATGTAGGAAATGAGAACTCATTTATGGCGAACAACCCGCACCCTGATGTACACAGCTGAATATATGATGTCAAATGTATTGCACTGATCGGTGGGCTGTGAAGCATCAGGAATGGAACTACATCGGAGGTCATAATGAAATTACTGAAATGAATATGTATTAATGCATATTTCCATGAAGAGTAGTTGGACAATTTTTGTACTTGCAAATGAAATTTATGCTTTCAGAATGACTCTTTCACCCTCGAATGATTTTGGTGGGTGCAAGTAAAGGTGCCGGGCTACATCCATACTTGAGTTGTGCGGTGTTCAATTCATTGTGGCCTGATCACACTTTTAAATTCTCGTCATCACAATGCAGAAACATAGTTGTTAATTACATGCCTAAGCTGCATGTAAAGCGCAGTTAGGCATCGTAGGTACGAAACAGCGCCTTTTACAAATTGTAAAAAGGCACACATCACAGGAAAATAAGAGTTGAAATAATAGCACTCTTTTTAGGTTTTGGTTTTATATTCCATCGGAAGTAATGAATTTATTCCTTCTTTTAGTGTTAATTTATTTGTTGCATATAGTAGATGAGTTTCCTAACTGCATAGAAAAATCTTATTCTCAAAATTAAGTGCTTAATTAACTGTGTGAAATTAACTGATATTTGCAATTTACTTATTGAATACATTGTGCAGATATGAAGAATTTTGTTTAGTTGTACTATTTGTTTTGCTTCTGTGAAGTGTACTCCTCTGTTCTTTGCACGTAACCCCAGTGAAACTTAGTAGCTTACGCCAGTTGAAGTCAGTGCACTGGCAAAATTCCAGGTCTTGAATCATAAGAGGATAATAATTTAGTGGTTGGCAATGAGAAGCTTAATTATCTTGAATTTTGGTTGGTTCGGTAAATTTGGTCTTACTATTTATACATGCATGAACAAAAAATCTTTATAATTTGTATTTTCTGTTGTTAGAAATCAAGTTATATGCCATGATGTTATTCGTGATTTTGTCTAGCATATTAGCATTATCTAAAGACTTGCTGAACCTTCGATGATTTGTTGCTGCTGATTGCTGTTGGTACCTCTTGGATCCTGACAATAATACGTAATATGCTCTTGACCCGTTTTTAGGTACTCTTCCAAAATGATTCTTCCGCGACTTTACTTGCTCGAGTTATTGGAATCATAGGCCCGATTGACCAAGAGATGCTTGTTAGAGGACGAGATACATACAAATATTTCACCAAAAATCACATGCTTTATGAACGGAACCAGGTAATACTGTTTGCTGTCATGTTCGGTTGTTACTTCAAATTACAAGCCCAACAAACAAGAAATCTCTATTAAATGCTAAGAATCATTGTGCAACTGAAACAACATATATTTTTTCTGTAGCATGATTTATCTAGGACAGGCATGGATTGGGACCCAAATGAACATTTATTTGAACTGTCCTTATTTTGCATTTCTTATCTTCTTTCCTTTAATATTTGTCATAGGATTCCCATCCACCATATTTTTCGTCCCCATACATATACGGGGACTAAACATAAGTTAATAAGTAGACTGAAAATTCAAGTTCGTGTTTATAGAGGCTGAGTTTGAGTTTTTTATATCAGCTACTGATTGGGTCACCGCCAAACAAATGTTTAGATAGGTTCTACCTTGACTAAGTCTATTAATGGATTTGCCCTGTGATTGACTCCCTTGAGGCACGTGACTCTTTAGAAGGCAATGTTATTAATGGGCATATAGACCTAGGCCTCGTTTGGTAGTGCTTTTTCACTACAAAAAATTGATTTTTTGACCTTCATTTCATTATTCCAGTCGCTATTTTTGACTTCTTCACTCACATGTGACCTCCGCTTTTCTCCCTAATAGTAAAAAAATCAATTCTCAAAATCATTACCAAACGGGCCCCTAAACTTTTTAACAGTTGATCCCCCCCTTTTTTTTTTTTCCTTTACGCTTATGAGTTTTAGCTAGCTCTATGGCATTTCTCCAAGTAAATATAGGATGCTTCTATTTTCAAGCATTTGGTTTATTTGTAGTCTTTTGATGAGGTCATTGTGTGAAGAAAGATTGGTGTGAGCTAGCTACAGTGGCACACACATCGACAAGAAAAAAATTCGACGATAATGTACTAAACTTACGGAAAGCAGGAGGTGCTACATGAAAGAACTTAACTCATGCAGCCGAACTGACAGTGCAGGATGAGGATGAGGATGATTAGTAAATGAAGCTAACGGAAGATTCATCGGAAATTCACGTGAGGCAGAAACATGCTTTTTTGAAGTGGGAACATAATGTTAAATGCTTTGTGCCACTTGCCTTGCAATACTCAATTATAGAGGGAAAATATTAAGCCCCAGTTTGGTCGCCATTTTTTCTAAAACTCATTTTCAACCACATTCTCCCAAAATAATTTTGTATGTGGATATAAATTTGTACTACTTTTTAACAACACACTCTCCAAAAAAAAATCATTTTCACAAAATCTATTCTCCAAAAATTTCTACCCAACGGGGGCTAAATCATGGATGTCAGACTTTAGGAAGAACATTTACATCTTTGCAATACTAAACAGTCATAGTATTCATTGAAATCTTTACTACTAAATTTGTGCTATTGGACACAATGTGCTTGTGCATGTGTGTGTTAGATCCTTATTATGCCATACTTCTTCTTCTCGCTTGTCCTTGATTATTATGTATTTTCTTCTTAAGCTAGCATTTGGAGAACAATGCTACTGCAGTGTTGGTGACTGTCAACATTTAGCTTTAAGTGCTTTTTTGGGCTTAAAAAGTACCTAATAAGGAGCTTTTAAGCATGGCCACGTGTGCTCTAGCGTGCACCAGATAAGATCCTTTTATTATTTAACTGAATTGAATGCAAAGGTAACTGAGCCAAAAAATGGTGCATGTGTCTATTAGTTTTACGTTGTATATGCTATTATGAATGTATCACCGGTACAATTCATTGTTATCAAATTGTCGAAGATTCTCCCTCTTCTATCATTTTACATAATCTTGTTTATCTTGCTCAGGAAACCAACAGACTGGAGTACTTGATACCGAAAAAGTCATCCTTGAGGCATCGGTTGCCAATGGGAGACCAGGGCTTCATTGACTTTGTTGTTCATCTACTCGAGATAAACCCCAAGAAGCGCCCTTCTGCTTCAGAGGCTTTGAAACATCCTTGGCTTCAATACCCTTATGAGCCAATATCATCTTGAGGAATTCAAGATTCATGAGTCGAGTGTTCTCCACTAGAGTACTCGTATAGGTTTTTCAACAAGAGGGTGGAAAAGATGCTGGCGACGTTTAATTGTAAGTTTCTATTCGTCTGCAATTGATCTTCTGTGAACGCCTATTCCTTCAATTGGAATGTGTGTTATGGTTTTGACGGTGAAATACATCTTCCATATAACTGCATTGTATTCTCATCTATTCTGAACTGAAATTTAATAGCCTATACGGAATGACTAGGGTTTTTCATCTTTCCTTGTGTCTTGTTTGGTGGAAGGGGAAGTGTTCACTCTTGTTTGTACATAATTTGTGATCATTCTTTGAGGTTATTGTGTAATAGCTGCTTACCGTTACCCATTTTGATTAATTTTTACTCATTTTTGTGGGTTGTATCATTGTGAAACAAGCAAGCCAGGTAACATGTTTGGCTTGGCTAACCTTTTTTGCTGTATTGAATCGTCTTTAACTTGTGAATATGTTTGTTACAGCCATGTTTTCTTGAACTGCTTTCGACACAGTAAAGGAAAAAAAGATTTTTGAGATGGAAACATATGTTCTTATGAAATTAGTCCAGAGTTGACAGTAAAGCTTGTGATTAGGGGTGTGACAATGGACTGAGCGGGTTCGATTGTTCTCATTGCAAAAATTGAAAAACAAAGCACTTGTTTGGTCTAATTAAAATTCAGGTTTTTAGTAGATTTTGACAAAAGTTGATAAAATATGTAGTTATAGCCTCCGTTTGGTGTGATGAAAAATAAGATTTTTAGTAATGAAAACTTGTAATTCCAAGAAATGAATTATTAGAATTATCTGTTGATTTTTACTTTGTTTTTAATCCAAAATTTAATTCATACCAATACCAAACAGGGGTATAGTAATTCAATTTTAAATTTTGCAGAAAACAGAATCTCTAGGGACTAATTTGAAGCACACAAGCGATGGGGATTGATGTGAGGCATCATGAAGTCAAAACTTCAGGGTCCAAATTACAGCTTTCAAAAACATAAGGTGCAATTTGCCTAAATTATAAAGTTTATGCACCAATTTGCAGATAGATGAAAATTCAGGAGCTCTTTTGTAGAATCCAGAAACTTCGAGGATCAATTTGAATACTTGGGCAGGGCCATATACTTCTTTGATGGCACAAGGTTATTTTTGAGGCTGCAGGAGCAGCGCAGAACCATGAAGTTAGCAAGTCAATGTCTTAGGACGGAAAAAGCGTGCATGAATTTACCGGCCTTTTGAATACAAGAAAGATAATTAATCTTAAAGAAGATATGCATAATATGAGGTTAAAAAACTATTTAACTTCGTAAGGAAAAGATCGAGCAAGGGCGTAGTCAGGATTTCATTCCAGTTGGGACAATTAGACCGTGTTTGGTGCTATTAAAAATCAAAATTTTTAATATAAGTCAAAGTTAACAATTAGTTTTACTTATATCAATGGATCTACAACTTTTCAATTACACATTCATCAATTTTTATCAAAATTTACTAAAAATTTGATTTTAATTCTCACTAAACAGGAGCTTAAGTTAAAATTACTAAGTTGACCTTTCTAAGGATTGTTATTAGTAAACGTTTAAGGAGTGGGGAGAAAATGTAAAATAAAAATTATATAACGGACTGATATGGATTCACCAATGGTTATGAGCCTAACTGAGACTGACATGGACTTCGAGTTTAAGAGCGTGTGCAGCGTGCTAAATCAAGAAGCAATTATTCCCTAAAATTAAAAACAAGATTACATTCGGATGCTTCTGGATATTTCGTGTGAAAATAGATTATCTGATTAAGATATTCACATTTATCATTATTTATATAAATAAAATATAAATTGAATTCGATATATATATATATATATATATATATATATATTTTTTTTTTTTATACCTAAGTGTCCACCTTACAGCGACTAATCCTGGGGTCTACGATCCAGCCCCTCTTCACGCAGACCAAGTAAATCGTAGGTTGTGCCCCAAACTGGCCAGGGTCCAAGAGCCTCTCCAACTGAACCGCTAAAGTGCCAAGCGAGTCAAATTCATGTATGCGTCTTACCTTCCAAGGAACTCCTGCCTTTCAGGAGAAAACCTTGCCTTTCAAGAGCCCTATGAATCGAACCCGCGACCTCTGAACTGCCCGCTTTGAAGAACTCCGTCCTTTGTCAATTGGGATGTGCCCTGGGGGGCAAAATTTGAAAAATTTTGGGAACATTTGAGGTGGGAGAGGAGAATTTTGTCTCTAATGAACCAATCGAGTGGTCACGAACTAAGTTCCATGGATGTAAAAATTAACTATAGCAAAAATTTTCAAACAAAGGAATAACAATCCTCTTCTTAAAAATGGTTTTATCAAATTTCAATAGAGCCACTGGCCCCACCCTCTCCGCTTTTGAAATATGATCAAACGATGGTATTGTTGGAAGCTCATTGACACAACAAAAATGAGCGTACCAAATATCTACAATAGTCATTTAGCCAAGCTTAAAGACAGAGAAGAAGGAGACAAACTGATTTAGTAGCAAATAATTGATATTTTTTGTTTTAATTCTTTAAATTGGTCAATCATGTGTCGACGCATATTTCACCTATTTTTGATCCAATATGTATAGCGTAATTGAAATATCTAACCAAGAGCATGATGTCATGAAACTTGCAAAGGCGGATTTGGTGGTGGCCGGCATGGGCATTAGCCACATCACATTTAAAATTTTTCTAATAATTTTATGTGGAAAAAAAATTATGTGAAATTTTTATTTTACATATTAATTAGTCCCTTAAATTTTATTATTTTTTTTTGTCCAGTCCCTGACAACTTGAGCACGTGAATTTAGTGCCCGTTTTAATTGTAAGATACTCTTCAAGCTTATTGTTCTAGAGGTTAAATGAATCCAACCCTTTCTTAATTTTTACATTACTAGCTCATACCACAACAATTGGTTAACTAAAAATAGAAAAAAATTGCAACAAAGGTACCAAACCTTTTACTTAGTAGCATACTTGATCCATACCTTTTATTTGTGTCACCGTAATACCAAACTTTTAAAAAATTTGCAGCTTAAGTCCAAATTGACAGTTTTCGTCAGTTTGACTCCAAAAACCCCAAAAATTAAAAATTTTATAATTTTCACCAAATAAGGCAAGGGTAAAATTGCCACTTTACCATTTTAATATAAATAAAAAATATAAAAGAACCTCTCTGTATCTATTTCTTTCCACCCCACCTACCCAAAAAGAGGGAAAAGCCCATCCTGCCACCCGTCAAAGGTAACGCCACTATCACCGGGCCACAGTGCTATCCACTTCATCTCCACCTCTCTCAAACTCCCACTTTTCTCCCTACATCCCCACCGACCTTCTATCCCCTTTTATCAAGGGCTATTATTTTGCAGCAATTTCCTTTCAGTGCCAAATGGGAGCTATTAATCCCAACTTCAAAGTTAGAACCGGAGATTTAAACCTCACTGCCACTAATTTCCTCGAGTGGAGGCCGGATTTTGGACCCACATCGGAAAATTGTGTCATTCTTGGTAGCCTCCTATTAATGTAATAAATATATTAGGTTAAGGATGATTTAGTCTTTTATATTTCCTTTGTTTTGTAGTATTTAAGCTTAGTGTAATCTCATATTTTTTCTCTAAGTTTTTGGAGGTAGAAAGAACGGCCCCTTCTTCCTCTTCATTCTTCATCAGTTTGTTCTTCTTCTCTTTTGTTTCTTTATCATATTGGTTTGTTGTTTTCTACATGGTATCAGAGCCCAAATATCGGCGGTGCATGAACGAAAGTTGCAAGTGATCTGTCGGCGCGTGCGTGATTTTCTGATGACACTTCAACGAGACAGTATCTTCCTTGGTGAGTTTCTGACAATTTCGTGGTATTACTTTGGTTATACGTGCACTATACGGTATATTCCAGTGGTAGTTCATATTAGTACATTAGTCGTCGTTGAGTTTCTTGGAATTTGCTGATTTCCTTTGATTAGTAGTTATTTATTTGTTGATTTCATGATGGAAACTGAAAGGGATGATTCGCTTCAATCCATTAGTGTCCGTTTAAATGGTAAAAATTACTCATATTGGAGTACTGTAATAAGAAATTTTCTAAAAGGAAAACGATTGTGGGAACTGTCGTGAAACCTGAGAATACTGCTGCGAATTATGTGACAGAGTTAGATAATTGGGAGTCAAATAATGTGAAAATTCTCACTTGGATTCATAATTCTGTTGAGCAATCCATTGGTACACAGTCAGTGAACTTTGAAACAGCGAAAGAAGTTTGGGATCACTTTCAAAAGTTATACACCAAGTCTAATTTTGCAAAACGATACCAGTTGGAGATTGATATACGGGCTTTACAACAGAAGGATATGAGTATTCTCGAGTTTTATGCTGCTATGAATTCAATTTAGGATGAGTTGGCTCTTACAAAATCAGCGGGGCTAAAAGCATATGAAGAATATATTACTTTTAGATAAGAGCAGAGATTAGTTCAATTTTTTATGACACTTCGCAGTGATTTTGAGGGACTTAGAGGCTCTATCCATTGCCATCCCTAGATGCATTTTTATAAGTATTTCAGTCTCATCAATGATGCATCTTTATTAGTTTATCAGAATTTAATTTGATCAATGTTTGGTGCTTGAAAGTAGCTTCTAACCTCTCTTGTATTTGCAGGAGCACTTGTTAATTGTATGTGAATTGCTGAAAGCAAACCTATATGAGTTCCATAAGTTTAATAGAGAATCTGGAGGAGAGGTCTACTTTACAATGCCAAGACTGCAGGTGGGTGACATGGCATTTTATATGCGCCTTTATCTTATTGGAGGGTGATTTCTGACTTAAGAATTTTATCATGCAGTCGATTACCATTCAGTGTTTGGAAGCACTTCAATTCTTACATGGTCTTGGCCTCATACATTGTGATTTGAAGCCTGAGAATATTTTGGTGAAAAGTTATAGTAGATGTGAAGTGAAGGTCATTGATCTGGGGAGTAGTTGTTTTGAAACAGATCATCTTTGTTCGTATGTTCAATCAAGGTCCTATCGTGCGCCAGAGGTTATTCTGGGACTTCCATATGATAAAAAGATCGATATCTGGTCACTTGGCTGCATCTTGGCAGAACTATGTACTGGCAATGTAAGTTCTTTGCTTTTCTAGCAATATTATTCTAGTAATACCTGTAACAGGGTCAACTGAGAAAGCGCGTTTCTCTACAAATAGTATTTATTTTCCTTTCTATTGTACTCTATGTGCCTTTGCATTGAAAATTATACTATGTTCAATGATGCTGTGCACACTTGTTCAAGTATCTAGGGTAAGTTATGCCGGTCATTTTTGTGTGTGCGTGCAAAATCGTTCTCAGAAAAGACCTTTTCACTACGTCCTCTGATGTAGGAAATGAGAACTCATTTATGGCGAACAACCCGCACCCTGATGTACACAGCTGAATATATGATGTCAAATGTATTGCACTGATGGGTGGGCTGTGAAGCATCAGGAATGGAACTACATCGGAGGTCATAATGAAATTACTGAAATGAATATGTATTAATGCATATTTCCATGAAGAGTAGCTGGACAATTTTTGTACTTGCAAATGAAATTTATGCTTTCAGAATGACTCTTTCACCCTCGAATGATTTTGGTGGGTGCAAGTAAAGGTGCCGGGCTACATCCATACTTGAGTTGTGCGGTGTTCAATTCATTGTGGCCTGATCACACTTTTAAATTCTCGTCATCACAATGCAGAAACATAGTTGTTAATTACATGCCTAAGCTGCATGTAAAGCGCAGTTAGGCATCGTAGGTACGAAACAGCGCCTTTTACAAATTGTAAAAAGGCACACATCACAGGAAAATAAGAGTTGAAATAATAGCACTCTTTTTAGGTTTTGGTTTTATATTCCATCGGAAGTAATGAATTTATTCCTTCTTTTAGTGTTAATTTATTTGTTGCATATAGTAGATGAGTTTCCTAACTGCATAGAAAAATCTTATTCTCAAAATTAAGTGCTTAATTAACTGTGTGAAATTAACTGATATTTGCAATTTACTTATTGAATACATTGTGCAGATATGAAGAATTTTGTTTAGTTGTACTATTTGTTTTGCTTCTGTGCAGTGTACTCCTCTGTTCTTTGCACGTAACCCCAGTGAAACTTAGTAGCTTACGCCAGTTGAAGTCAGTGCACTGGCAAAATTCCAGGTCTTGAATCATAAGAGGATAATAATTTAGTGGTTGGCAATGAGAAGCTTAATTATCTTGAATTTTGGTTGGTTCGGTAAATTTGGTCTTACTATTTATACATGCATGAACAAAAAATCTTTATAATTTGTATTTTCTGTTGTTAGAAATCAAGTTATATGCCATGATGTTATTCGTGATTTTGTCTAGCATATTAGCATTATCTAAAGACTTGCTGAACCTTCGATGATTTGTTGCTGCTGATTGCTGTTGGTACCTCTTGGATCCTGACAATAATACGTAATATGCTCTTGACCCGTTTTTAGGTACTCTTCCAAAATGATTCTTCCGCGACTTTACTTGCTCGAGTTATTGGAATCATAGGCCCGATTGACCAAGAGATGCTTGTTAGAGGACGAGATACATACAAATATTTCACCAAAAATCACATGCTTTATGAACGGAACCAGGTAATACTGTTTGCTGTCATGTTCGGTTGTTACTTCAAATTACAAGCCCAACAAACAAGAAATCTCTATTAAATGCTAAGAATCATTGTGCAACTGAAACAACATATATTTTTTCTGTAGCATGATTTATCTAGGACAGGCATGGATTGGGACCCAAATGAACATTTATTTGAACTGTCCTTATTTTGCATTTCTTATCTTCTTTCCTTTAATATTTGTCATAGGATTCCCATCCACCATATTTTTCGTCCCCATACATATACGGGGACTAAACATAAGTTAATAAGTAGACTGAAAATTCAAGTTCGTGTTTATAGAGGCTGAGTTTGAGTTTTTTATATCAGCTACTGATTGGGTCACCGCCCAACAAATGTTTAGATAGGTTCTACCTTGACTAAGTCTATTAATGGATTTGCCCTGTGATTGACTCCCTTGAGGCACGTGACTCTTTAGAAGGCAATGTTATTAATGGGCATATAGACCTAGGCCTCGTTTGGTAGTGCCTTTTCACTACAAAAAATTGATTTTTTGACCTTCATTTCATTATTCCAGTCGTCATTTTTGACTTCTTCACTCACATGTGACCTCCGCTTTTCTCCCTAATAGTAAAAAAATCAATTCTCAAAATCATTACCAAACGGGCCCCTAAACTTTTTAACAGTTGATCCCCTTTTTTTTTTTTTTTTTTTTTTTTTTACTCTTTTGTCCTTTTCACTACAAAAAATTGATTTTTTGACCTTCATTTCATTATTCCAGTCGTCATTTTTGACTTCTTCACTCACATGTGACCTCCGCTTTTCTCCCTAATAGTAAAAAAATCAATTCTCAAAATCATTACCAAACGGGCCCCTAAACTTTTTAACAGTTGATCCCCCCCTTTTTTTTTTTTCCTTTACGCTTATGAGTTTTAGCTAGCTCTATGGCATTTCTCCAAGTAAATATAGGATGCTTCTATTTTCAAGCATTTGGTTTATTTGTAGTCTTTTGATGAGGTCATTGTGTGAAGAAAGATTGGTGTGAGCTAGCTACAGTGGCACACACATCGACAAGAAAAAAATTCGACGATAATGTACTAAACTTACGGAAAGCAGGAGGTGCTACATGAAAGAACTTAACTCATGCAGCCGAACTGACAGTGCAGGATGAGGATGAGGATGATTAGTAAATGAAGCTAACGGAAGATTCATCGGAAATTCACGTGAGGCAGAAACATGCTTTTTTGAAGTGGGAACATAATGTTAAATGCTTTGTGCCACTTGCCTTGCAATACTCAATTATAGAGGGAAAATATTAAGCCCCAGTTTGGTCGCCATTTTTTCTAAAACTCATTTTCAACCACATTCTCCCAAAATAATTTTGTATGTGGATATAAATTTGTACTACTTTTTAACAACACACTCTCCAAAAAAAAGTCATTTTCACAAAATCTATTCTCCAAAAATTTCTACCCAACGGGGGCTAAATCATGGATGTCAGACTTTAGGAAGAACATTTACATCTTTGCAATACTAAACAGTCATAGTATTCATTGAAATCTTTACTACTAAATTTGTGCTATTGGACACAATGTGCTTGTGCATGTGTGTGTTAGATCCTTATTATGCCATACTTCTTCTTCTCGCTTGTCCTTGATTATTATGTATTTTCTTCTTAAGCTAGCATTTGGAGAACAATGCTACTGCAGTGTTGGTGACTGTCAACATTTAGCTTTAAGTGCTTTTTTGGGCTTAAAAAGTACCTAATAAGGAGCTTTTAAGCATGGCCACGTGTGCTCTAGCGTGCACCAGATAAGATCCTTTTATTATTTAACTGAATTGAATGCAAAGGTAACCGAGCCAAAAAATGGTGCATGTGTCTATTAGTTTTACGTTGTATATGCTATTATGAATGTATCACCGGTACAATTCATTGTTATCAAATTGTCGAAGATTCTCCCTCTTCTATCATTTTACATAATCTTGTTTATCTTGCTCAGGAAACCAACAGACTGGAGTACTTGATACCGAAAAAGTCATCCTTGAGGCATCGGTTGCCAATGGGAGACCAGGGCTTCATTGACTTTGTTGTTCATCTACTCGAGATAAACCCCAAGAAGCGCCCTTCTGCTTCAGAGGCTTTGAAACATCCTTGGCTTCAATACCCTTATGAGCCAATATCATCTTGAGGAATTCAAGATTCATGAGTCGAGTGTTCTCCACTAGAGTACTCGTATAGGTTTTTCAACAAGAGGGTGGAAAAGATGCTGGCGACGTTTAATTGTAAGTTTCTATTCGTCTGCAATTGATCTTCTGTGAACGCCTATTCCTTCAATTGGAATGTGTGTTATGGTTTTGACGGTGAAATACATCTTCCATATAACTGCATTGTATTCTCATCTATTCTGAACTGAAATTTAATAGCCTATACGGAATGACTAGGGTTTTTCATCTTTCCTTGTGTCTTGTTTGGTGGAAGGGGAAGTGTTCACTCTTGTTTGTACATAATTTGTGATCATTCTTTGAGGTTATTGTGTAATAGCTGCTTACCGTTACCCATTTTGATTAATTTTTACTCATTTTTGTGGGTTGTATCATTGTGAAACAAGCAAGCCAGGTAACATGTTTGGCTTGGCTAACCTTTTTTGCTGTATTGAATCGTCTTTAACTTGTGAATATGTTTGTTACAGCCATGTTTTCTTGAACTGCTTTCGACACAGTAAAGGAAAAAAAGATTTTTGAGATGGAAACATATGTTCTTATGAAATTAGTCCAGAGTTGACAGTAAAGCTTGTGATTAGGGGTGTGACAATGGACTGAGCGGGTTCGATTGTTCTCATTGCAAAAATTGAAAAACAAAGCACTTGTTTGGTCTAATTAAAATTCAGGTTTTTAGTAGATTTTGACAAAAGTTGATAAAATATGTAGTTATAGCCTCCGTTTGGTGTGATGAAAAATAAGATTTTTAGTAATGAAAACTTGTAATTCCAAGAAATGAATTATTAGAATTATCTGTTGATTTTTACTTTGTTTTTAATCCAAAATTTAATTCATACCAATACCAAACAGGGGTATAGTAATTCAATTTTAAATTTTGCAGAAAACAGAGTCTCTAGGGACTAATTTGAAGCACACAAGCGATGGGGATTGATGTGAGGCATCATGAAGTCAAAACTTCAGGGTCCAAATTACAGCTTTCAAAAACATAAGGTGCAATTTGCCTAAATTATAAAGTTTATGCACCAATTTGCAGATAGATGAAAATTCAGGAGCTCTTTTGTAGAATCCAGAAACTTCGAGGATCAATTTGAATACTTGGGCAGGGCCATATACTTCTTTGATGGCACAAGGTTATTTTTGAGGCTGCAGGAGCAGCGCAGAACCATGAAGTTAGCAAGTCAATGTCTTAGGACGGAAAAAGCGTGCATGAATTTACCGGCCTTTTGAATACAAGAAAGATAATTAATCTTAAAGAAGATATGCATAATATGAGGTTAAAAAACTATTTAACTTCGTAAGGAAAAGATCGAGCAAGGGCGTAGTCAGGATTTCATTCCAGTTGGGACAATTAGACCGTGTTTGGTGCTATTAAAAATCAAAATTTTTAATATAAGTCAAAGTTAACAATTAGTTTTACTTATATCAATGGATCTACAACTTTTCAATTACACATTCATCAATTTTTATCAAAATTTACTAAAAATTTGATTTTAATTCTCACTAAACAGGAGCTTAAGTTAAAATTACTAAGTTGACCTTTCTAAGGATTGTTATTAGTAAACGTTTAAGGAGTGGGGAGAAAATGTAAAATAAAAATTATATAACGGACTGATATGGATTCACCAATGGTTATGAGCCTAACTGAGACTGACATGGACTTCGAGTTTAAGAGCGTGTGCAGCGTGCTAAATCAAGAAGCAATTATTCCCTAAAATTAAAAACAAGATTACATTCGGATGCTTCTGGATATTTCGTGTGAAAATAGATTATCTGATTAAGATATTCACATTTATCATTATTTATATAAATAAAATATAAATTGAATTCGATATATATATATATATATATATATATATATATTTTTTTTTTTTATACCTAAGTGTCCACCTTACAGCGACTAATCCTGGGGTCTACGATCCAGCCCCTCTTCACGCAGACCAAGTAAATCGTAGGTTGTGCCCCAAACTGGCCAGGGTCCAAGAGCCTCTCCAACTGAACCGCTAAAGTGCCAAGCGAGTCAAATTCATGTATGCGTCTTACCTTCCAAGGAACTCCTGCCTTTCAGGAGAAAACCTTGCCTTTCAAGAGCCCTATGAATCGAACCCGCGACCTCTGAACTGCCCGCTTTGAAGAACTCCGTCCTTTGTCAATTGGGATGTGCCCTGGGGGGCAAAATTTGAAAAATTTTGGGAACATTTGAGGTGGGAGAGGAGAATTTTGTCTCTAATGAACCAATCGAGTGGTCACGAACTAAGTTCCATGGATGTAAAAATTAACTATAGCAAAAATTTTCAAACAAAGGAATAACAATCCTCTTCTTAAAAATGGTTTTATCAAATTTCAATAGAGCCACTGGCCCCACGCTCTCCGCTTTTGAAATATGATCAAACGATGGTATTGTTGGAAGCTCATTGACACAACAAAAATGAGCGTACCAAATATCTACAATAGTCATTTAGCCAAGCTTAAAGACAGAGAAGAAGGAGACAAACTGATTTAGTAGCAAATAATTGATATTTTTTGTTTTAATTCTTTAAATTGGTCAATCATGTGTCGACGCATATTTCACCTATTTTTGATCCAATATGTATAGCGTAATTGAAATATCTAACCAAGAGCATGATGTCATGAAACTTGCAAAGGCGGATTTGGTGGTGGCCGGCATGGGCATTAGCCACATCACATTTAAAATTTTTCTAATAATTTTATGTGGAAAAAAAATTATGTGAAATTTTTATTTTACATATTAATTAGTCCCTTAAATTTTATTATTTTTTTTTGTCCAGTCCCTGACAACTTGAGCACGTGAATTTAGTGCCCGTTTTAATTGTAAGATACTCTTCAAGCTTATTGTTCTAGAGGTTAAATGAATCCAACCCTTTCTTAATTTTTACATTACTAGCTCATACCACAACAATTGGTTAACTAAAAATAGAAAAAAATTGCAACAAAGGTACCAAACCTTTTACTTAGTAGCATACTTGATCCATACCTTTTATTTGTGTCACCGTAATACCAAACTTTTAAAAAATTTGCAGCTTAAGTCCAAATTGACAGTTTTCGTCAGTTTGACTCCAAAAACCCCAAAAATTAAAAATTTTATAATTTTCACCAAATAAGGCAAGGGTAAAATTGCCACTTTACCATTTTAATATAAATAAAAAATATAAAAGAACCTCTCTGTATCTATTTCTTTCCACCCCACCTACCCAAAAAGAGGGAAAAGCCCATCCTGCCACCCGTCAAAGGTAACGCCACTATCACCGGGCCACAGTGCTATCCACTTCATCTCCACCTCTCTCAAACTCCCACTTTTCTCCCTACATCCCCACCGACCTTCTATCCCCTTTTATCAAGGGCTATTATTTTGCAGCAATTTCCTTTCAGTGCCAAATGGGAGCTATTAATCCCAACTTCAAAGTTAGAACCGGAGATTTGAACCTCACTGCCACTAATTTCCTCGAGTGGAGGCCGGATTTTGGACCCACATCGGAAAATTGTGTCATTCTTGGTAGCCTCCTATTAATGTAATAAATATATTAGGTTAAGGATGATTTAGTCTTTTATATTTCCTTTGTTTTGTAGTATTTAAGCTTAGTGTAATCTCATATTTTTTCTCTAAGTTTTTGGAGGTAGAAAGAACGGCCCCTTCTTCCTCTTCATTCTTCATCAGTTTGTTCTTCTTCTCTTTTGTTTCTTTATCATATTGGTTTGTTGTTTTCTACATGGTATCAGAGCCCAAATATCGGCGGTGCATGAACGAAAGTTGCAAGTGATCTGTCGGCGCGTGCGTGATTTTCTGATGACACTTCAACGAGACAGTATCTTCCTTGGTGAGTTTCTGACAATTTCGTGGTATTACTTTGGTTATACGTGCACTATACGGTATATTCCAGTGGTAGTTCATATTAGTACATTAGTCGTCGTTGAGTTTCTTGGAATTTGCTGATTTCCTTTGATTAGTAGTTATTTATTTGTTGATTTCATGATGGAAACTGAAAGGGATGATTCGCTTCAATCCATTAGTGTCCGTTTAAATGGTAAAAATTACTCATATTGGAGTACTGTAATAAGAAATTTTCTAAAAGGAAAACGATTGTGGGAACTGTCGTGAAACCTGAGAATACTGCTGCGAATTATGTGACAGAGTTAGATAATTGGGAGTCAAATAATGTGAAAATTCTCACTTGGATTCATAATTCTGTTGAGCAATCCATTGGTACACAGTCAGTGAACTTTGAAACAGCGAAAGAAGTTTGGGATCACTTTCAGAAGTTATACACCAAGTCTAATTTTGCAAAACGATACCAGTTGGAGATTGATATACGGGCTTTACAACAGAAGGATATGAGTATTCTCGAGTTTTATGCTGCTATGAATTCAATTTAGGATGAGTTGGCTCTTACAAAATCAGCGGGGCTAAAAGCATATGAAGAATATATTACTTTTAGATAAGAGCAGAGATTAGTTCAATTTTTTATGACACTTCGCAGTGATTTTGAGGGACTTAGAGGCTCTATCTTGCACCACACTCCACTTCCCTAAGTTGATTCGGTGGTTAGTGAACTTGTAATTGAAGAAACACGTTTGAAATCTCTTGCAGGAGAAATATCTCAGCCTCCATCTAGCACCTCAGTGTTGGCTGTACCCTCTCGATCATTCACACAGAATCCGAACGAAGGTTATGTACGAGCTACTAATGATGAGTGTAACTTTTGCAAACAAAAGGGACATTGGAAGTCTCAATGTCCCAAGCTATTGAAGAAGTAGCAGCCACAACCACGGCAACGATCCTATCATCCCAATGCTAAAGTAGCTGCTACCATGCCATCTAATGACTTGTCTATACTTGGAGCACCACCTTCCTTTAGTCCCATGTTGACTGATTTAGCAGAGCAGATTCAAAAGTTCTTAGCCACACAACCATAATCAATGTCAGCCCCTACTCATATAGGTTTGTCATCTCAGAGTCACTCAGGTATTTCTTCCTAATGGATATTTAACTCCGGTGCTTCCAAGCACATGTCATCTAACTCAAAATTCTTTAATGACTTGCGTCCTTCTAACTCGTCTATGTCTGTTATGACTGTTGATGGCACATCATTGCCTTTAGCAGGTGTTGGTTCTGTTAACACACATAATTTGTCTCTTTCAGACGTCTATTGCGTTCCAAATCTTATTTTAAATCTTATTTCTATTGGCCACTTGTGTGATTTTGGATATTTAGTTCAATTTTCTTCTAATGCTTGTCATGTACAGGATCCTCGATCTCAGAAGCTGATTGGGATAGGCTGTAGACAAGGAGGGTTATGTGTTCTGGACAATCTGAGACCACCATATGTTGCAGCCTCTGGTGTTGACTTGTCCTCTTTTTCTTTGAATTCATCATCTTCTAGTTTTTATTTGTGACATTCTCGCCTTGGACATGTTTCCGCTAGTCGTTTAAAAGTTTTAGT